GTAGCTTGTTGTATATAGTCGAGCTTACATTTTGCACTCTCTTTCTTAGCCAAAATCTCATTTGTATTGAGCGCTGTAGTCTCTAATTTGCCCTGCTTTTATAAGCAGTGTGCGCAGTTTGCTTCACGTTTTGCAGACGTTAGTAAGCACAGTGCAAAATGTGTCATGCTCGCTTAAATTCCATAGCAGGACTTTTATCCTGAGAGGACTGGGGCTTAGCTTTCTTCAAATGTAGTAGCATAAATGTGTTGAGTTGTGGCTCCCTGGTGTCTATCTTTAATGTCTTACTCAGAAAGGTAGAAAACATTTTTGTTTTAGTGGTGAATGGTGACCAACTTTCTTGACCTTTGACAGAGTTCTCTCGGTGAGAAACAAGCTCATTAAACAAACTAAACAAACAAACAGAAAACCACTGCCATCGAGTCTGACTCAGAGTGACCCTATAGGACAGGAGAACTGCTCCTTTTGGTTTCCAAGACCTTAAACATTTTTACAGGTGTACAGAGCCTCATCTTTCTTTTGTAGGGTGACTTGTGGATTTGAACTACTCACCTTGTGGTTAGTAGCTCAATGTTTAACCCACTAGATTGCATAGCTATTATTAAGCAGGAGTTTATACATCCATTCCTTTATTCATTCAATTGTTATGTGAAAATATGATACTGGATATAATTTTTAAAAAATTTTAAAAAGTTTTTCAGTGATTTATATGTAATACTTGTTTTTTCATTCAGTGTTTGTGAATTTAAAGTAGTAATAGTCACTAGCACTGCTTGTTCATCTTTGATTTATTTTGTCACTCAGTAGAAACTACCTTAAAAAACATGGAAACTGCTAGTAGATGCTTAGACTTTGCAGAACCAGGTGATAAAGTGAATTCTTTTTACCTATCGATTATATCTATAACATCACGTCACACCAGGTTTCCTTCCGTATTTGAGGTTATGGAAGTTGTCTTCACTGCCAAAGATAATTAATATGTAGATTCTGCTTAATTTACAGGATAACAAAAAGATGAAGAAATCTTTGGAGGAAGAACAGAGAGCCCGGAAAGACTTAGAAAAGCTTGTGAGGAATGTTTTAAAGACCATGAATGACCCTGCTTGGGATGAGACCAACCTATAGAGCTCGTCCTGGCTTTTCTCTATCAAGACCAAGCCGGGAAGCTTTCTCACCCAAGTCAGTGTTCCATGTAGTGACTGCAAGTGCGGCTGTACCGGACAGAAGCGTTATCTTGCTTTCTATGTATAGAAAAGATGCCGTTTATGATGTGAATAAAAATGATCAGATCAAACCATTACCGAAGAATCCAAGCTTGAGGTATAGAGACTGAGGATTCTGAGCTGCATTAATTTTACTCTGTTAACATCTAAATTACCTCATTTTGCAATAAGTGCAGTGACCGACTAAAAAAACCGTGTTTTTCAAACTTTTAACTGAAGATATATAAATAGTATATATATATATGTGTGTCTTGTAAATATTCTATTCTGAATGCTTATCCATGGTTGCTATCTGTGGGCTAATCCTCATGCTAGAGCTTCCTTTCTGCTGATCTCTCTGGTCCTGTGAGTTAGAAGTTAACCTCACATTTACTCTCCTGAAAGTAGAAGCCGGGAAAATTCCTAGCTGCTTTCGGTAGATGATGGATTTGTTCTACACCATCATAGTCTCCGGAGTGCTATACCAATACTTCCCATTTCAGTATACTTCAATAATTGAACCTTATTTGTACAGAGGCGTGAATACCATCCGAAAGTCTTCTCTTAAAACAGTGTTACAATCACAAACATGCATTAGTTCTGAGTGCAGTACCCTTTGCCTGAATAAATGAGCTTGGCACTCCGGCGTTTACTGGAGGAAATGGCCTATACCACCAGTGTGTCCAAGTCAGACGAATGCTCTTGTCTGCTTTGTCTCCATGCTGTGGTATCAGAGCTAAGCACTGCATTTTGGGAGAGCACACAAACTTTTATATATAGGCTGGTTTAAAAATTTGACAAAGTGCACTGGTTTGTCCTTCCCACAAAAGAGAAATCTTAACTAGAACCTGTAAATAAGATGTATTCTCTATCATATACCCCTGCAGCCAGTGAAAACGAATGGAGGCAATACTGTGAGCTAACATGGATGGATAGGGCTTCTTTGTCAGGCCAATTTAAACTCTGAGATCTGTTTACCATCAGGGTTCAGCAAGGCTTACTGCAGTGCTCGCTGGGAAAAATAAAGTGTTCCCCCTTTCAGTGAGACTAAAGCAATGCATTTCTTTTTCATTTAATATAAGTAATACAAGCTTGAGTGTGGAAACCTTTCTTCCCACTGTGTAAAAGTAGCAGAGGAGATGCAGGGCAGGCTCGTCCTCCACGCACGGCGAGCCTCTCTGGCAGACCCCGAGGAGCAGAAACCCTCTTCTTTCTGTTGAGGAAAAGGGTCACTGTGACCATTGGAACTGTTTCCTGTGTCATACAGGTTCCCCCCTCCCCGCCCCCCCCTTCTGAACAAGTCTGTTTTTAAGTGAGAGGAGCCCTATCACAAAGCAGGTGTCTCGTCTTGGAAACCCGATGTGCACTAGAAAACATGCTGGGCATCACGTATGACTTTTGTGATTAATTAGTAAATTCACCAAATCCTTTGCTGTTGATGCCTTCAGACCAGAGCAACTTTGAAAGTCATTTGTTTTGTGGTTGGTGATCAATCCTCTCTCACCTCTTGCCTTCATTTCCATCCTGGGTCCTGATCTTTAAACCCTGCTGGGCAGTTGCCTCCCCGACCACCTTGTCCTCCCCATGCTTAGACACAGTGCACAGGGTTTCCCCGTGGGACGGCCATCCACCTGATAGGCTTTCAAAACCACTACACGGTTTGCTCTTTAGTCAGAATCGCCAACTTCCTGTACTGAGCATTTGATTGATTCCTGCCAAGACTAGACAAAGTTGAATTTCTCTCTCGTTATTATTTTTTTAATCTGCATTTTTTACAAGTAGATGGTTATGCATAAGACATTGCAGTGGAAAACAATTAAATGACAGGGTATTGAAGTTTGCTGTCATGAGCAAATTTTAACTCAGGAAGAACTTTCATCATCTGATCTCTGTCACTTTGTAAAAGGTGATGTTGTTTTGTGGCTCTGCTGAAAGATTTCGTATCTGTCTTCTCTGAGCAGTTATGTTGCTATCAGCACACCCCAGGATGAATCCCTTACAGAACATGCCTTAATTATTAGATTGACACACTTAATGAGAATACACGCATTTTCATGTCCCTCCTCTGCTTAGGGGATACACATTGAGATTCCTGTGTTACTTCATGGCCTTTTCTTTCTGCGATTCCCAGATTTTATTAGGCTTTTTAGGGAGTAGAGAAAATGCATCTTAGAGCAGTTCTTTCTAAAAACGCACCCCATTGTATATAGACTGTCTACATTTCACAGTGTGACCTTCTAAGGGGCTGGGGCTTTGATATAAACATTCTAAAGGGGCACTGTCCATTTAACCTTTTAATGGGTTACTTCTTTGCTCTCACCTTTCGTGGATGAGGAGATGAAGCCATTTCTTAGCCTATAGATGTGAAGCACTTTCAGTTCTAAACTATGTTGAAATGTAGCATCTGAAATTCGTTTTATTGTACTCCCTGGTGGGTGCGCCTGTTTCCACGCATCATGCCGTCCTTGATAGAAACAGCTGCCTTGGTTTGGGTAGACATTCTTAATGCCAGTCATTCCTTTAGAAAATCTAGAGTATCCATCCTGGTGTTGACGACGACAATGTTTATGCTACACTATTGTAATTATTAAACTGATTTTTTTCTTATATTACAAAATATGCCACTTTATCCTCTATGATGTGCTTGTGATACTATCTTATGGTAGCTTTATGTTTTATTTTGATTATTTTTTGAGATTTAAAAATTCTGGTGAACATTTTTGATGTGGGAAAATATAACATTTGTTTTTAAAGTCTAGACTCTGGGAGTATGTGAAGATCAGAAAGGAAAACGGTTTTGTAGGAAAGGACACTGGAGTGAAAACGTTTACACTGTTAGGAACGATCTCGACTTCATTTACCGTAGTTAGAAAAAGGACACACGGTAGAAGAAGCTCAAGTATCCGTTTTGCAGAATCAGATAAATGAACTCGTTTTTAAGATACCTATAGGATTCTGTATGGGAATTCTCAAAAGACAATTTGGGGAGAAAAGTAATTTGCTTGTCTCTTAAGACTAAAATAAGTAGACCTTCATAAATCAGTTGAGTTCCTTTGTGTTGTAAATACCGTGTATCGTGCATACTGCCGTCTGATTGGTTCTGACGCATGGAGACGCTGTAGGAAGTAGTAGAGCGGCTGCTACCCAGGGTGTCTGCGGCTGTAGTGTTTGCGCAGGAGATTGCCTCATCTTTCTCCAGGAACCAGCTGGCGGGTTCTAAACGCTGACCGCGTGGTTGGCACCCCAGTGCTTAACCCACTGTACACCAGGGCTGTTGTGTATCCGTGGCCAACCAAAACCCAACCCCCCTCAAGGCAGTTCCGACTCGGCAGCCCCAGCGGTGGTTGCCACCGGCTTTGAATGGTCACAGGAGCAGACCAGCCTCATGTGTCTCCTGCCTTGGGGTGCCAGCAGTTACCCCACGGTGCCTGCAGGGCTCCTCGTGTGCACCTTCGATGCCTCATCTAGCTTGTTTAGATGATATGGAGGGTTTAGGCGTTTATGTTTTTCTTGCTAGCTTTTTTATAAAAATAATAATACTTGACTGCTAATTATACAAAATTGATAGTTCAAACCCACAAGCAATTCTGTGGGAGAAAAATTTAAGTCTTGCCCTTGCTAGAATATATAATCTTAGAAACCCTGTATAGGGTCATTATGAACTGGAATTGATTTGATAACTGGATTTGGTTTGGATGCGAAAAATGCCAGCAAAACTTAAGATTATAATGCAAAAAAAAAAAAAATCCATTATCTCCTTCACATGATGCCTTCTTTTTCCACAAAAGTAACCAATGTTTTATGTATTATATATTCTTTTTAAAGACAAATGAAAATACCTGATGTGTATGATTATTTTCCCATAGTGAAATCACACTGATTGCGTTCTCTTAATTTGCCATTTGTTTATTATCCAAGATATAGTTCCACGTAGGTACATAGAGTTCATTGTTTTGGATGGCCACATAATATCTCATGAGTTGATGTATTACAGTTTATTTTGGTCACCTATTTACAAATATAAAAGAGTCCTGGTGGCCCAGCAGTTAAGCACTCAGCTGCTAATGGGAAGGAACGTTAGGCAGTTCTGCAGGTGGAAGACGTAGCAGTCTGTTATTGAAAGAATACCTCCTGAAAAATCTTATGAGACCCTCCATACTCTGTCCTATAGGGTTCCTATGAACCAGAATCAACTCAACAGTGGCTTTTGTTTTTATTCATATTTGGGAGGGAAGAATTCCTATTGTAGAAATCAGTGAGTATCATTATATTTACAAATGTGTAATTTTTGTGAGTATAGCTATAGGATTGATGCCTACGAGTGTTCTGTGCATTTTTAATTTTGATAGAATTTGCCAAATTCTTAGACGGTATTCATGGCAGTTCAACAGGTTCAGTTTCTCAGAAAAGAAGCAAGTTAAATGCCTTCTGAAACAGTTTCTTCATTTCTGATCATTCAAATGGATGACATTCACTCCAAAATGAAAATGTCATTGGGAGAATAGATTATTATGGCAATATATACTTACCCGTTTCTGTCTTTATATCTGTGGCTCCTATTTCTGGGCTCATTTATCTTTAGTCCTGTAATGATTATTTTCCTGAAACACTAAATTACTTCACAGTTATCAGCCGAACCTCCAGGGATGCTGATTGAAGTGTGGCTCCCTGGGTGCCACCAGGCATTAATTATGCAAATAATCTGTGGGTATGATCCAGGAGTTTATAGTTTGAACATCATCCTAGTGGTGTTAGAGCCTGTAATAAAAGCATAGTGATGTGTAAGAGATTTTTTTTTTTTAAGCAAGCAGGCTGTGTTAGGTCTATTTAGGTCTTTCACATTTCTATAAATGATTCATTCATTAGTATTTTAAAAGTCATCTGGAGCACTTCTAACGGTATATGTAGATTTAATAAAACCAAATTCCTCAGTACTCTGACCATATTTTATTAAATCTTGGATGTCATTAATTTCAAGACAAACCATTATTTTTTGTACCGCGAAAGGAAAAAAATGCAGCCCTAGAATTATAGCGGATCATCAATTCTAAGACGTTTTATAGGTTTTTAAAAAATAATGTTTTGGGGTTAACACTGTCTCTAACTTTCCACTATGATTACTTAAAAGCCTTGCTTCTACAGATGTAACCTCATTTTCATTCCCTTACTCTCAGAAATTTCTGACTACATAATTAGGTTCTAAAGAACAGGTTAATGAAATAAAATTGGCATTGTGTAAGACTGATGGGTGACTATATGATTACCTGTCAAATTACTTAACTGTCAAACTAATGAGAATCATGACCCAGCCAAGTTGACACATTTTTTTAAACTTTTTTTTTTTTTTAGCATTTTTTAAATAATTTTATTAGGGGCTCATACAACTCTTATCACAATCCATACATACATCAATTGTGTAAAGCACATTTGTACATTCATTGCCC